TTCTGAATGTGTTTAGTTATGAACTTATGACGAATTGGATATTTTATTCACCGCATTTATTGCTTTTAGAGTGTTGATGCGTTTGGGTGTGTAGGACATTAATGATGAGATAGGCATGTGGATACCTTTATTTTTTTGAATTCTGTTATTAATTAGTATATCCCTGAATCTCTAATCTTCATAAATTATTGCATGCTCCAGGATTATTTTAGTCTCGATCAAATTCTACGTGACACGGTACTTTTTTTTTAAAAAATAAAAAAAAATATATATATACGTATTTAATGGTGTAATAATTTCCCTCTAATCTCGCTCACCCACCCATTTTATTATTGCTTTGATTTCCCTAAGTATGGGATATCTCTACACTATTGTTACCACTTTCTGCCCGTCTCCATTGCAAATTTAGTTACTAAAAGGGTTGACTGGACTGGATAATAATGAAATGCAAATTAAAAAATCGATTAATATCATTTTGAGAATCGCGACCGTAATTAGAGCTTGAACCTTAGTATTATTGGAAGAAACCCTTTGTGAGAGGTCTCTTAATACCCACATGACAATTACCACCCCCATCTTTCACTCTGTATCATGATAGATACTATACTCATGAAACTATTGAAACTAATTTACATAATTATTAGAAACAATATTTTTTCAGCCTCATAATTATTAGTGATGACAATGTGTTAAAGATTTCATCATCAACCATATAACATAATATGTACATAACACAACTTATCAACGCACACAACACTACAATTAAATCATATGCATCACATGTCATAACTCAACAATATCAACCACATATATATACACAACAAATTAATTATATATGTCATCACACATTTCAATTAGGAGATTTTCTACAATACACGAGAACAATTTAAATGGTTTGACCTTATTAAATCAACAATCTAATTTTTTTAATACAATTAGATCAACAACTAATTTTTTGATCATAATCCACAATACAACATGATTTCTTAGATTTTACCACTTAAACTATGAAATATAGTATTTTTGTTAAAGTAAAAAAATTTGGTTGTGAGTTTACCGTGATATAGCTAGCATAACTAAGTCATCTATGAGATTAACCCACCGGATACTCTCCAAATATTATGTCCTTCCAATACTTAGTTAGGAATTTTAATCCCCAACCCTGTGCCTTACTCTAATTTTGTCATTTTATACATGTATGTTTTGATCTTGCCTATATACAGATCAATAAGGTCGCTTGTAGTCGATACGTCTCAACCTTGTTCACATATCGCTTCAACTAAGATTCTAAAGGAGGCTCAACTATCCACTTCAATGATCAATTTCCAAAGAAGGGGTTTCAACAAAATTAGACCATTGGAGCACCACAACATAATATTCCCACAATAAGACATGCAACTTTGAAAAACAACTTCTCCTTTAATCTTTTTAGGTCGATCAACACAATACAACTTCAACGCCAAAGTATTCTCAACACATCTACTCAACTAAACCACTATAATTCAACTCAATTTTCAACTATTTAATCAATTAATACATTATACTACCCCAAGGTATAAAGATTCAACATAATGTATCAACATATGATATAAAACACAACTTAATCACTATATAACATGTCATAGATTCCAAAAATCTATACATATTTAACTTTTAAAAACACAAACAACACATATTTATAAGGTAGTCCACGGTTGATGCCACTTTTCTCGTGCTCGACATGAAATGAAGTAGAATCTCTAACTTGTCCACACCCAACGCCAATCTTCCCTCATCCGACGTGGATAATTAAGGTAGAGAGTTCCTATTGCTCTCACACCAGACATGACCAAAACTCACACCTGCCTGGCATGACCAAAAATCCTAAACCCTTATAATTACCTAAACTAACGAGAATTTCTCAAATCCTCAGGGCTTTTCAACAATTCGCAACACTAAATTCCCACAATACAATAATTAATAAAATCAGCGACAAATAGTAAGAATGTAAGTGTTACAATTCTCATCGGATTGAATAATTATGTGTAGGGTCCCATGTTAGAGATCCCACATCGTCTAGGAATAAGACCATAATAGTATATATAAGTGGGTGAACAATCCTCACTTTACAAGCTGATTTTGAAAGAATGAATTAGGTTTTTGACCCACTTTTCCAAGACGATATAATAGCATTTGCATGGTTAGAATTTATTAAAAATTACAGAATCAATAAATAAGATGTAGGACCCGTCAAATATTTTGTTTCTCAATAAATTTCAATTAATAAAAAAAATGTGTTTAAAAAAATGTGAGAAAAAGTATATTATTAACATTTTTCTGCATAACAATTAGTTTTGAATGTTAGAAGCGTTATAACTATGAAGCTAACTTCACTAACTGATTGGCTAACTGCACAATGGACTCTAACTGAATGATCAACTAAGTAATTGCCCCTACTTCATTGTTAAGAATTAACAAAAGAAAGAACAAAATATTTAAGAAATTATAATATTTTTAGATAGAACCATATATAGTTTACTTGATGAGATATTTGATCATTCTGTGTAGGGCCATGGGGCATTAAGAAATGAATTGTTGTGGAAGAGGTATTAGTTTTGATGATAAATGGTAACCTCTACGATAGGGTAATTACCTACCTTTCATGTAAACATAGAAGATGATGAGGATAAGGTTATTACACAAACATACTCCACAATGATGAGATATTGTCCGCTTTGGGCCTTAACCCTCACGGTTTTGCTTTTGGTCATCACCCAAAAGGCCTTTCAATCATTGAAGTATGTTTGTATTATATAAGTTATTATTATTTGTGATATTTTATCGATGTGGGACTTGTTTGTATCCCAACAGAAGAGTATAATAAACTCTTTTTTTTATTACATTTTTTTTTTTATTACAGAAGAGTATAACAAACTACTCCTAAAGAGATAAGAAGAAGATAAAAAGTAAAGACTCTTAAGATAAATTTTTCCAATTAGCTAAGTAAACTTATACTTAAATATTCTAGTAAATCCTTCCTATTTCGGAATAATAATATAAAATTATAAATAAAATAATATATAAATTAATCAGTATTTTTCGCTCTATAAGTTAATTTTGGGATTAAGAAGTTATTTAAGTACAAATTTTAAAGAACTTTTTAATTTTTTTATTAAAATAAATAAAATTCTTCTAAATTTATATCCAAACCATTGTATTGTTAGAAGAATGTTTAATTTAAATTAATCATTGATCACTTTTTCATTCTAGTTCATGCCACATAGGTAAAGTAGTCAATATATTGGTTATGGCTAAACAGGAAAATCATGAGCAGCAGAGCTCATGTGAAGCAACAAAGAGTTTGATTTCATGGCACTTTATTTATTTATTTTTTTCAATGAAATGGGAAATAATAATGAAATAAAAGGAAAACCAATAAAGGGAACTTTTCATGGTGGCGTAAGGGATACGTTCGAGAAGCCTTTGACACCCTACAAATACCCCCCACCATTTCCACTACTTGCAGTGCCATCAACCACAGCCATTCGCCTTGTAATGGGTTACTGGTATGACAATTGCCAAAGACAAAGTCACACATTTTGATTTTAGCGGGCAATGGAACCTTGGTGAGTAAAGTCCAACCTGTCCACAAACCTAACCTAATCTCTTATTAATTTGGATGGGTTTGGATCTTAAAATTATACCAATATAATTTTTGGGACGGGTTCAAGTTATTCTTCAAACCATCTCATCCCAATCCGTTCTTCATTATTTTACAATATATATTATAAAAATAATTATAAATTAATAATAAAACTTTTTTAATAAATAATACTTTGTATAACAATATATTATATCTACAAGGACATTATTTATTTTAAATATATATTATGAAATATATTTTAATTTAAATTTTATATCTCTTTTATTTCATAATTTAACTATATATATATGTTAATATTAATATATTGACTTAAAATATCGAGTTAATCTAGTTCTTCGCATATATTCTTGGTTGACCTAGATCTTTTCATATATTTTGGGTTTTAATTAAGTTAGGTTCGAGTTTAAATAAATAATTTGATTAAATTTTTAAACTAGGTAAGGATAAGGACAAATTCATTCTAATTTGTCCCTTACTCACCTCTACGATAGGGTAATTACCTACCTTTCATGTAAACATAGAAGATGATGAGGATAAGGTTATTACACAAACATACTCCACAATGATGAGATATTGTCCGCTTTGGGCCTTAACCCTCACGGTTTTGCTTTTGGTCATCACCCAAAAGGCCTTTCAATCATTGAAGTATGTTTGTATTATATAAGTTATTATTATTTGTGATATTTTATCGATGTGGGACTTGTTTGTATCCCAACAGAAGAGTATAATAAACTCTTTTTTTTATTACATTTTTTTTTTTATTACAGAAGAGTATAACAAACTACTCCTAAAGAGATAAGAAGAAGATAAAAAGTAAAGACTCTTAAGATAAATTTTTCCAATTAGCTAAGTAAACTTATACTTAAATATTCTAGTAAATCCTTCCTATTTCGGAATAATAATATAAAATTATAAATAAAATAATATATAAATTAATCAGTATTTTTCGCTCTATAAGTTAATTTTGGGATTAAGAAGTTATTTAAGTACAAATTTTAAAGAACTTTTTAATTTTTTTATTAAAATAAATAAAATTCTTCTAAATTTATATCCAAACCATTGTATTGTTAGAAGAATGTTTAATTTAAATTAATCATTGATCACTTTTTCATTCTAGTTCATGCCACATAGGTAAAGTAGTCAATATATTGGTTATGGCTAAACAGGAAAATCATGAGCAGCAGAGCTCATGTGAAGCAACAAAGAGTTTGATTTCATGGCACTTTATTTATTTATTTTTTTCAATGAAATGGGAAATAATAATGAAATAAAAGGAAAACCAATAAAGGGAACTTTTCATGGTGGCGTAAGGGATACGTTCGAGAAGCCTTTGACACCCTACAAATACCCCCCACCATTTCCACTACTTGCAGTGCCATCAACCACAGCCATTCCTCTAACATCATCATAACCCTCACCCTTTCTTCCTCCTTCGCAACTCGCACTCCCAGTGGTCTCAAACTAGACCTCTGTTGGATGCTGTTGTGTTGCCTCAGGTAAACAAATTCTCTTTTAGTTTTTCAACCTTCCATTTGTTCATTTTTCTTATGTTCACATGCATGTACTAGCAGCATCAAGTTATGTTAAACACTTAACTAGTTAACTAGCTCAGTGTGCCAGCATGTTAAGATCATTATGGATCAAAAAATAAAACAAAAGCTCAGTGTGCCAGCTTCTAGGGTTATAATTTTTTGTTATTCTTTCATGCAGGTAATTAAGTAAGTAAAGTACTTGTGTTGTGCTTTTCTTTGGGTTACTGAAGAGTGAAGATGCAGAAGCAGGGCATTGTAACCATTTTGGGCTCTAACCACGATGCTGCCACTTCCCTTCGAAGGACACTATCCGCAGACATGTCCTCCAAGACATGGCTTTCTCAAAACGGGTTTTCTTCCATGAAGAAGATCGCTTCCTCCGAAGAACTCTCTCACTCACTCACAAAATCTTCCACCACGGACTCATCATCATCCCCGTCCGAAGAAGAGTTGCAAATTTGGAACACAACTCAAAAGAAGGAGCAGCCAGAAGAGTTGGACATGTGGAGCTCAATTTTGTCACAGAAAGCCAACGATGAAGCATCCAAATTAACCGCAACAACACCTTATGTTCACCCACTCATGAGAAGGTCCAAGAGTTGTTTGAGTGAGAAGAGTCTCCAGATATGCACGGAGAGTCTTGGATCCGAAACTGGCTCAGATGGGTTCTCATCTGAGACAGGGGATTCAGAAGAAGAAGAAGAAGAAGAGGAGGAAGAGAAAGTGAAAGAGATTGAGCAAATGACACAGGAAGTGGAGGAGTTGCACGTGCGAAAACTACATAACTATGGTACTAAGAAATCCTTGTCTTTGCCTCGTTCTTTTCCTCCTCCGCTCCCTTCACTCCACATGCGGTCTCACCGCGACAACGGAAGGTTGTTCCTACAAGCCGTGGAACTTCCTTCGCAGAACAACTTCTGCGCTCAGCGAGAAAACGGTCGCCTTGTCCTCACCTTCGCCCCCGGCGAGGAAGTGGAGGAAGAGGAAGAAGAAGTGATGAAAATTGAGGGAGATGGTGAGGCAGAGGAAGCAGAAGCACCCATGTTGGTGTCTAGTGGGATGAGGCTAGCATTAATGATGAATAAGCCAATTAAGTTAGGTGACACCACTATTACTATGAGTCCAAAATGGTCGAACGAGGTGGTGAATTTTAAGGATGTTGATGTGGTGCAACATAGTCCACTTCCACCTAGGCCAAGGGTGAGGTCAATTCCCCCAACTATTTCAGCTGCTTTCAATGCTTATGAATACTATTGGAGGACCAAGCCTGTGGCAAAAGCTTCTAAATTTCAACAATGTTTGGAGAACAATTTGAAGACTTGCAAGGATTCTAGGAGGCCTTTTCTGTTCTGGGAACCCTATTGCATTGCTACTTGACCTCACTCATTGGTCATTGCTAATTGAAAACTTGTGTTACTTAATTAACTACTTATATTACTCTAGTTTTTTCTCTCTACTCAGTTCCACTCATTCAGGGAGCTGTAGTGAAATAACAGGAGAAAGGGATAGGGAGAGAAATACTTGATTTGTAAGATCAGAGAAATTACTTGGACAGTTGGATAGTGCATGTCATATTATTGTATCAATCCGTCCATATATGCTATTATTAACAATTGTATAATATCAAAGTTTTTCTTTGATTTCGTTGACTGTCTTGTCCTCTCTAAATTATCGTGATTTCTTTTCAACCTTTTTTGTTTTGCAATATAGGCCAATGGGGTTTCGCAATTGGTCGTGACCTGCAATTTTTATTCTGTACTTGTATTATTGATCTTTGAATTCTAGCTTACCCTTCTGTTTTCCATGTGGTGGAACTGCGATGATCATACTTGGTATGGGAGCAGGTCAGGGATAGCTTGGGAGTAGAGATGATCGTTGTGAGACGAGGAGCTGAGTCTCGTGTTTTGAGTTACCATTCTGGGTAACATTTTTTTTGTCAGTGCTTGACCGGCACTAAGGAATATTTTGGGATGACTGTACATATATGGTGCTATATTTTATATACAGAAACTTAATTATTTCGATCTTTATATTTATGCCTGTATGTATGTGTTATCCAGTTTAATATTCTCTTAGTTAACTAGTTGTAGTGCGATTCCACTAAGTGTAGAGACCGTGGCGGGTCGTTACATATATGATATAACATGGATGGAGGAAATGGAGGGCGAAGTTGAAGAAAAGATGGATGGAGCCTGAAATTTATTAGGGTTAGTGGGGACCTTTGGGACGTTAGGATTTTGGTGTCGGCTTTTGGAGATTCACTCTTCCAACTACAATCAATTTTTCCATACTTCCAACTTACAATATCTCACACGATCTTATTCCTTTCGTATCTCACCTTCTTTTTACCCTTTTCTTTATTGCGTCTTCAACTTGTTAAAGCTTCTATGTTCTCTTATCTATGGTTATGGTTTTGGTATACCCCAACAAGCAACAACAAAAGCTATGTACCGAGAAATCAGCACTCTAGGTTATATTTTATTATAAAAAATTATGTATTTCATATTTTAAAGTATAAAATAGTTAACATTTTTATCTAAAAAAAAGTTAAAGATATTATAAGAAGATTTAAAAATATTATTTTTCCGATTCCATTGACTAAGGTATATAACATTTTTATAACACGTTTTACTATTCACTTTTTTCTTTATCTTTTTTATTAAAACAATTAAATTATTTTATATTTTTTTACCGGAAGAAAAATTGAGCTTGTAAAATATTATGGTACATATTTTTCTCAACATTTATTTATTAAATAAAAATTTATATCATACTATTGTACGACCTCAATTTTTCTTCCTCCCAATCTAAAGAAGATCGTGGAAGATTCTATTCCTCATTCCTTCGGATGAAATTTTGGCTCATAGCATTCCAAGCCCTAACATTCTTTTAAGTGATTTAGTAGTTTGTTGGATATAGGGGTTATTTTAATTTAAATAGTCTCAGTCTATATTGACCTGAAAATAAAGGAGTTAAATGAAGTTGCTCCACGAAATAAATGAATACAGTTTCAAATATGTTTCTAATATCTGTAAATTGAGTGAGTTTTTATTTTTGATACTGTAAAAAAAGTTTCTCTGTTTTATATTTTTATAAAATTTATTAACATTATTTTTTTATAAAATAAGTAAATTTTAGTTTTAATTTTATATTTTTTTTATTTTCATTTGTCTAAAATTTAAAGTCACTCTTTTTAGTTTCTACTAATCATTTTAAACAATATAAATAACACTAATTTTAACAATTTAAAAAAAAAATAGAAGTGACACATGCTAATTTGTAAATACCATTTGACATAATTACATAACTTTTTAATAAACTTCAAAAAAGTCGTATAATAATAAAGATTAAAATAATAGTTTCAAATTTCAGATAAATGATAAACAAATAATTTTTTTTACAAAAATTAAAATTAAAACATATTATTTTAAAATAATTAAAATCATTAAAGTCGCGAATCTATAAAATAAATTGTCTGCTTCCACCTCGTAATGATTTACAGGTTGGCATGCTAACCCGCAAATTTGAATTAAAACATTTTTGAATTTTGTGAAAAAAGTTTTAAAAAAATCAACTAAAAATTATGATAATCTTTGGTACATATAATAAAATTTTGTTTTTAGTTTTCGTAATAAAAATATATTATTTAAAAATATAATATATGAATTAACTGAAAGAGTCATGAAGCTAACCCGTATAAAGTGGTATTTAAATAAATAATATGACAGCAAATTGTGACCCACAATATAGATTACTGGTTAAATCTTAAATGAAGCAGTCCACAGAGTAAATTTGATAGACGAGGCTTATTGATCATTCGGACAATGACACCGTCAATTGCTATTGCTTGAAGTTCATTACACGGATTAATCGGTCAAAACATAAAAGTCATTTGATAAATCATAAGGAAATCATTGTCACAGCAGAGGAAATGTAATAAGTGCAAAGAATAATGAAACTGATGTTTTTAGTAATAGTTTTTTATTTATAATATTATTATGATTCAAGAGGAAGGTAGAGGATAATAGATATATATATATAGATAGCATAAAAAATTTATCATGAGAGATGAGAGGGTTAAAATATAACTTTTAGATTAATTTTCTCTTACTTGATATGTTGAAATTTGGGAATTCATAAAATTAATTTAAAAATTATATTTTAACTCTCTTATTTTTTATGATAAATTTTCTCTCACTTGATATACCTCCTCTCTCTTTATATATATATTATCATCCTCCAAATTAAAAATCATGTTCCTAAGTAATATATATAGTTTATGAGCAAGAATTCGTTTAATTATGAAGTATCTTTATTATTTATTTAAATTTATTTTATTTAATAATTTATGTTTTAAATTAAATTTTAATGATGTAACTGTTAAATTTAAAGTTTTTAATATATAAATTAAATTTATAAATTTGTAAAAAATTTAATATTTAGTAAGTAGTTAGGTTGGTCTGACGAAGAAAGGAGAGAGATAGCTAAGCTATTAGTGGGGGAGAGTCAGTAGATAGGTGGGGGAAACAAATCATTCTTTATTTCAATTTTTTATTATTTAATTTAAACTATGAAATTAAAAATCATTTTATCTAACCGATTACAGTATTAAATATCGCTACAACACTTTTCCACTTTATTTCTTAAATGACATCATATAAAAACACGAGACTAGGATCTCTAATTTAAAAAGCAACTCAAAAAATATATAACATAAAATTAGGAAATATACTAAAGTTGTATGGATTAAAAAAAACATTAAGAAAAGTACAAAATGAAAGGTCCTCGCACAAATTCAGAATTGACTCCGGCTAATTTGATTGATCATCTTTAGGAAAGTGGGATTTGATTTGGAGTTTGTTTCAATCACTCATTAACTTATTAAGGGAATTAAGTATAGCAACTATTTAATTTCATGTTCAATAAGAGCTTCTGAATCATTATGCCGCCAAAACAACAGCCTCAAACACGAGTGTATCTACTCAAAATTTCTAATACAAGAAGGAGTGAAATGCTAAAATAAATAAATTGACAAATTTATTCACTTGTTTTTTTTATATGTATTTCATTTGTATTGAAAATTTTCAGGATTGACACGCCTCAAAAGACACTCCCTTGGTGCCCCTCTCAAAACACTTTGCTTTTTTCTTAAACAGGACAAAACACTTTTCTTAATGCATTATGATATCATGTTTCTTATTGTTTCCAATACAATCAAATCCAAAAGATAAAGAACGGAAATGTTAAAAGCAGACAACAAACCCCACCATCAATGAATCGACTCAAAAGCTGGAGTACACGTTTATTTTTAATTAATTTTAGCCAAAGTTTATTGGGTTATTTTCACAAAACTTTACTATTATCTGTTTTAAATATAAAAATCAACTTTCAAAAAAAAAATCGGTTCCATATAAACTGCCACCCAATGGAATGACACGTCTCAACATTAGTAAATACTTTTTTATTTGAATAAAAGAAAAACATAAGATGTTAATTGATGTTGATTGGTAAAACTTTTAAAAATTATTATATTATTTAATAATTTTATATTAAATATGATTTTTATCAATTTAATAATTAAATTACAATTTTATATTACTTTATATGTTTATATCAAATTTTATTAATATTTAATAATTATTTAAAGTAATTAAAATATTTATATTTTAATATATTTT